TCCTTTCTGACCTGCAAAGTTTCTTTTGAGAAATCAGCTGACAGTTGTATGGGTGCTCCNGCCTCTTTGGATTCCTCTTGTTTGAGACTCTGTGCTTCCTGGACTTGTAAGTCTATTTCTTTCCCCAGGTAGGGGAAGTTTTCTGTAATTATTTTTTCAAATAGGTTTTCAATTTCTTGCTCTCTTTTGTCTTCTTCTGGCATCCACATAATACAAATATTGGGCCACTTGAAGTGGTCCCAGAGACTCCTTATACTATCTTCATATTTCTGGATTCTTTTTTCTTTTTGCTCTTCTGGATGGGTCTTTTTTGCTTCCTCATATTCCAAATTGCTGATTTGATTCTCAGCGTCCTCTATTCTACTGTTGATTCCCTGTAAATTATTCTTCATTTCAGTTCGTGTAGCCTTCATGTCTGATTGGTACTTTGTTATGTCATTGATGATCTCGCTAGTTTCCTTAATAGTCTTCCTCAGATCCTTGAGCACCCTTATAACCATTATTTTGAACTCTGTATCTAGTAGCTTGCTTGGTTCCATTTCACTCACTTCTTTTTCTGGAGATTTCTTCTGTTCTTTCTTTGTGACATGTTTCTTTGCCTCCACATTTTGGTTGCTTTTTGGTGTTTGTTTCTATGTATTAGGAAGAGCTGATCTATCTCCTGGAACTGGTTAAGTGCCTTTGTGTAGTAGGTGTCCTGTAGAGCCCAGTGGCTAAGTTTCCCTAGTCACCTGAGCTGGGCCTTCTACGTGGTCTCCAGTCTGGGCTGTGTGCACTGTCCTGTTGTAGTTGAGCCTTAGTTGCTGTTGGTATCACTGGGATTAACTGATCCCAGGCCAATCGGCTGTGAGGACCAGCTGCAGCCACAGCTGAGGAGCTGCTGTGCTGGAAACACTCCTATAGAGCAAGATTTACTTCAATGGAGCTTTGTCGTTCACCTAGTGCACCCCTTGAGTGTGCCACTCATGCATGTAGTAGGATTGTAATCCAGCGTGGTCAAAGCTGAACACCAGGTGCACTGTCTCTGGGGCCTCCCAAGAGGTACAAAGTCAGCCTGTGTCTGTGCCTTGCCCAGGGCCACCCAGCATGAGCTACACAGCAAACTGTAGATGGCTGCTACTTGTGCTGGGCTTAGAGGTG